CAACGGGAGAGGTCCAAGGGCTGTTTGAAGGTTGTATTATGCCACGTCGAAGCATATTGTTCACATGATCATCAATGACATGGTGTTCAGCATGAGAAACTCGATATGGGCACTGGCGCAAAGGCGCTTGGCTATCGGTGTCGGTTAATGTGAGAGCAACGAGACAGCAGCCAGTCGTTTTGGTAGAAGCAGCACCAGCCTCAGCTACAACAAACATCGTCTTCGTCGTTGCTCCAGCAGTGCCGTATTTGTAACCACTAATTTGTATTTGCGTGTGAAGGCACGCCACATATATTGGAAGGTAACATCTGCAGAGTTATAAAATCGTGACTACACCCCATCTGTTAGATTTAACATGTGCTTCCTGGAATTTTTTCAATATAAGTCATCTGAAAAAAAAAAATTAAGTGAGAGGAGAGGAGCTCCTTTACAATCTCTTCAATTTATAAGGGCATTTTCTTGCTGCAGAAGGTAGCGCTTATGATTTGCACGTTGCTGCATATATCTTTGTCCAGACTACCCACGACATATTTTAAAAGTCAGATCCTTTTCTCTGCACCTCTTCTGCTTTTGCCAATGATAGCTGTAGTCAACTACATAGTTCACAAAGAATAAGAAAGCAGCAGATCGAATGCAATTGCATACGACTTCAGACATGGCGTTTGCATTTTGGCCAAGTGACTGATGGTTTTAGCCTCCCGTTTTTTATGCTCACCCCCAGGTTGCACACACACCTAACATCCTTCCTGCCTACACTTTAAGTAATAGCACAGCTCAGGAATTCTTCTGAGACACATTCAATCACGTATGTTTATAGAAGCTGTGGGCATCATACCTTTTTATGAGAAGTGAGTGAAAGAAGCCCAGCAAGAAAAGCATTAAATCGTGCACATATGAGTGTTGGGCTGAATATGAAGGTACGAAAAGGGTTCACTCTGTCTATACTGCAACAGGACGTGTTGGATCTGCGACAATATCCCAATTTTGCAGGACCGGGGAAGGAAGAATAAGTTAATCTTACACAAAAGAAAAGGAGAAATGTAAGAGCTGTGTTGCTAAGGTTTATTTTTTTAGTGAGTTGTGGCACTATGTGCGAATCACAATAAAAGGCTCCTTGACATCAAAAAGATAATATGAGATCACTAAAATATGAAAGGTTCCAACTATCAGCAAAAAAAACTAAATGTCTCTAGAGGGCAGCTGGTACAGGACATAGAGAAGTGCGCTGGCTGAAATGTCGCCCAATGATGTTTAAAACAGCTGAAATGTATTACCAAAACTCGTGATGTACAATGTTTACCAGCAGGATACACATTGACATGTATATTGATCAATTGGTGCTTTGGTTTATGATTTGGTGCTCATACAAACTATAAAACTTATTTAAAATATGATTTAAGTTGCATCTGTGATTGCTACTGTATAAATGGCACCTATGGGCTCATAGCAACTCGGTGCACCAGTCGTGATGCGGCAGTTTTAGACCAAAAACCGTTACGAGATAAAAAAAAAAGAACAGGCGATTTGGTACTAAAGTTATTCGTTGTCCCCCGTGTTCGTTATCACTACTGCTAGGTACGAGAAAAAATATCCAGGATTATGGGAGATTTGAACCCAGGCCCTTTGTGGGGCAAGCAAGCATTCTACTATACAGCGGCACCAGGTGCTTGAAATTGCTTCGCAAGGAGACCCTACACACGCATTGTGCTGGGCTAGGAACCATATTAAGAGATGTAATATGCATTGTAGAAGAATAAAATACAACCAGGTGTCACATACTGCAAATTGCATAAACAGTCTGTTGTTTAAAGCATCTCAGAAGTGGCTCAACCATAATTTTTTTTATTGTCATCAGCCACAGCATGAACCAAGTGCATGCAACGGCTTACAGTTGTGTAGTGGGCACCTTGCTTCTCTGCATGTGCAGGATAATGAACTATGGCGCTGTGGGCGATTCCTCGCTTGGCAAAAATAATGACTTTTGGCATAGTGGATACCGTGTAAGCGTAGCAGCTGCCCCAAGTTAGTTTACAATGGATGCTAGAAGGGCCCCTCTCCCAGCTTTCACTGTGACTGTGTTGAGTGTTCCGTGCAGGCCCGGCTTTTTGTTGTATCGGCACTCGTTTAATTGATTGATTGATATGTGGGGTTTAACGTCGCAAAACCACCATATAATTGTGAGAGACGACGTAGTGGAGGGCTCCGAAAATTTCGACCACCTGGGGTTCTTTAACATGCACCTAAATCTGAGCACACGGGCCTACAACATTTCCGCCTCCACCGGAAATGCAGCTGCCGCAGCCGGCATTCGAACCTGCGACCTGCGGGTCAGCAGCCAAGTACCTTAGCCACTAGACCACCGTGGCGGGGCACGGCACTCATTTAGGACAATGCAAAATCGACATAGCGCAAGTTGCGACAGTAACACTCCTTGACGCAATAAATATCAAACATAGCAGCTAAGGCGTGTCTTGTATAAGTATTCAGATGCAAAAGCAGTTTTTCGCAGGGTAGTTAGGTTTTGTATTTGAGCAGCAACACATAGATAGGTTTCAAGAGACTTTTGAGTTGGTGAAGGGCGAGGGCAATGCAATGGCTTCTCATTCAATAGAAGCATACTAACGTTTCACAGTCGTTAAGAGATAGATCTGCTGAATATTTTCTAGCCCCAACTAAAAGGATAACTCAGAGTCCCAACATGAAACAAAATGTTTCATGAAATAAGCTGTTTCATTCCATCTATAATGCAAAAGCTTACAAAAATGTTTTTTTTAATGGCCTTTAGAATCGGTGCATAGAATTGTGAAAAATAGACTCTTCTATGTGTTTACTGTTGAACAGCTCATAAGAGACTGCCATTAAATTAAAGGTAAAAAACAAGAAGGCCATTTTCAACTGTACTCACATTCTTGAACTTTATGGATGATTTGAAGGAACGAGTAATTCTTAGAGCACCATTAAAATTAAGCTCCGAAGAAAAAGGTGCAACAGAAGACTGTACAGCACAGACATTATAAGAAAGGTTCCATTTATGCAACCTAATTGCTCGCATGATAAAAGCAATTAAAGTTTACGTGAACAAAAAAAGAAAAGTAGAATATTAAACAAGAAAAGGCTTGCAACTGCTATCATTAAAAAGAAGAAGAATATACTTCAAAAGAAGTCATAATTATTGGTCCCTATTGGTGTTGCTAAAGAAAAGGCCTATTCTCCAAATATAAATAGCTGCACATTTACAAGTCTTCGACATTGTAATCATGGCAGGTAGCATGTTCCAAGTTAGACTGTCATTGTGTTCATCATGATGACTCCTGTCATCGACATAATGTTTGCGGTATTGAAAAATGTCTAAGCACTCCCTGAATGTCCATATACTTTGGCCTGCCGATTCACGAAACTTCTACCTGCAAATAGATTCTGAACAACACTGAAAGAGAAGTCAGCAGAAATTATGCCTTATAAAATAAAAAAAATATATATAAAAACCTTTTTTACAATCTCACATTTACTGAGAATGAAAACATTACATTATGTTACATACAGCGACATGCACCCTTTTGATAAGGAATGTGCACCTTAAATGCGTACGCACCTGAATGAACTTTCATTTTATAAAATTTTACATTGAGACAGATTCTCTACATTAGAACAGACATATCTTGTGTCCGACACATCCGTATGCATTTCTGAATGGAATCAATTTGTACTTTCAAGAGCAGCATTGTTTTTTATGTCACTTTTCATGCTTTGGTGTTCTAATAAGGCCAACAAAAATTAAAAAAAAAACATTGTCATGAAGTTTTATATGCCATACGTACAACAAATTACAGTGCACACTGTGATGATGGATTAACTTTGATTAGCGGTACTATAATGTCCACGTGAAGGTGAATTCATGGGCGTTCCTGCCCTTTGTTGGAATTGTCTGAGCTGTTGTCCATAAAAATGGGGCGTCGGGTTCTTATTTGTAAAACAATAACAACAGGGTGTTTCGAAAATTTTAATGACTCATTCACAATGGTTGAACATGTATACAACAGCAGCCAATAACTAGAAAGCTGCTCGGCTCACCGATTACTCATGCAAAACGGATACACCAGTAAGAGCAAAGTCAGCCGCAAACCTGCCAGCCTTTATTCTCACATGCCGTGAAAGACGATGCTTGGATGCTTCGATCACTTCAGCTTCAAGTTCTTAGTTACGTGGTTATTAGCATGTTGCTTTCTGCTCATATTTAAATCAACCTTCGGAATATGTCCTATGACATTTTAATCGCGTTCATGGCGTCCCCGCAGGGTAAATCGAGAATCGCAGCTGAACCTATGCAAGCTACGACACGCTCAAATCTCGAAATTTCGCAACACAAAGTTGGGAGTGTTTCGCGATCGAAAAGAAGGTAAAGCCCCAAGACCTACGATCATTCTTCTGACCTGTCGCAACGCCGCATAGGAGACGTTTATTCATATACAGTGCTATCTGCAAACGGCGAGCTGCCACACAGTTCATAGACATTTCACGCAAGGTGACACGCCCACGGCAACTTTTTCCGCGGTCTCAAAAAAGCGCGCAGCGCGAAGACATGCCGAGTGTGCGCCTTTCAAATCGTACCCTAAGCGCGGTAAGATGAAACTCCGGCACGAAGAGCTCGAGCTGCCAACTCGCCAAACAACCGCATGGAACTCTTACCCCACTTTCGAGGGAAAAGAAAATAAGTAAGAAAACCCGGATCAGTTTCTGCGTGTAGATAATTCGGCTTTCTTTCTGAGCTTCGCACTCCGACTGTAATATTCAGCGATCCGAGACATTTCACAGCGCCCGTAAAATCTACGGCAACTCGCGCTTGCACGGTAAACGACGTTTCCGCAGTGACACGCATGCGAGACGGGGCACGGCTACCACTGGTCGTCAAGTTGCGTCTTTTTCAACTATAACGTTTTCGCAATTCTAGCCATCACCCTCGACAAGTAGCGGCTTGACAGGTTACATTTCGACGCATTTACCTTGAAGATACGGTGTTGGGACGGACCTCGGGCCGCAACAAGTTGTTCACGGAACCTGCCCAGCGTAGTTCGGTCGCACAGCTGACAAAAGAGTCGACATTTAATTTTCAGACCGCAGCTAATACTAATCACAAAGCAAGATAATATTAGATCAAATAAAAACTTCACAGGCTTCAAGTAAAATAGAATAAACAAGAACTTGAATGAAGAGTTATTCAAAACTTTACCTTTTTATGCTTATCAAAAATTAAAAAAAAATATTATCTGCGGACCTGTTGCAACATGGCGCGGCCCACTGATTGAGTTTTGAGCGTGGTGTCGGTCAGTTCTAGAAACGTTGGTGTCGGTGGTGTTGTCTCCGCGACGCGTTGATCAAACAGACCATGGGTGAATCTGAGCGATCAGATGCAGATTCACTGCGCAGCCGACTGATTGCCGAGGATGCTTACATGCTTAGCTTAATTGACACGGTGCCTCCGAAATACTACTTCGACGCTGACACTGTGGAAGCATTGATGGAAGAAGTCAACTCTAAAGTGGCGAACCGGGTGCAAGGTAATGTCTCGCCCGCGTGTGTACCCTTGCTGCTTGGCGATGTCCACGATAAGAGAACTGTGCAGAAGCGTTTTCTCGCGCATGTTGTGTTACTTGTTTATTTTATTTTCGCCGAGTTAGCCTGAGCTGTCTTTTTGGTGTTGTCCGGAACCGATGCACGCGTGCCGCGGCTACCTCGATGACATTAAATGCTGACGAGAACGGTGGTAGCTTGCTGCTAAACTCACAAACTTTCAAGCACTGAAATAGTTGTGATCATTTAGCGTTGCGTCGTCACCTGAACTTGCGATCAGCCTAACCGTTTCTCACAGAAAAATTGTAAAATCTCTGACACGATGTGGTTGAAGTCACGGACGTGGAACTACATCGAAGGGGCACTCTCATCTTCAACGATATTTGCACGCTTTCGCATACAAGACAGAACATCATGACGCAGTTGACATTCCAATGCCAATGTTACATATCAGTGTTATCCGAATTACCGCTTGAGCAAGAAAAACACGTGAGAGCAACACCACAATGCTGCTTAGCTTAAATGTTCGGCCAATGCGCTGTGCTGTAGAACTGTGCTGGTAGAAACTTGTTTGCAAATGTTATGGTGCACAAAATTTGGTTAACGATATCCTTACCGACATTCTCTGACAACTCTCTGAAACTTACCGATATTCTCTGACAACTGGACCGTTGACCGTTCAGCTAATGACATCAGCCTGGAGTGCTGCCTAATCGATGCATGCTTGTGTACATCCGCCAATAAGTGCTAGTGCTGCTTCCTAAGCTTGTACCTAAGTTTAGTCAAAACAGTTTTAGCCGGTGCTGTATGCAGTCCTGGTGGACAATTTGGAACATCCTTTCAACATGCACAAAGATGGAACACAAACATAGAAACAGGCAACTGGCGAATAATATTCTTCAGAGGTATGCAAACTGAGCCAACGGAACATTTATCGGCTAACTAGCTAAGCCAATAAGCAGTGAGTGACGATAATCTTGCATATCATATGTGTAGCCAGCTGTATTACAACTGTGGAAGGGTAATAATTTCAAATCGAAATAATTTGTTACCCTAGTTTAACACATCTGAACATTTTGTTTGTCATGCTACGTATACTGTCATTGCACAGTGCCAATGGGGCTCTGGATATGTTTGAGGCCTTCAATTCACTGTACCTGACTGTGTAAATCAATACATTTTCAAGATTTATGGCAATTATAAAACGAAATGGTTAAAGCAATAGCAGGAAATTTGTCTGGACGAAATATGCTCAGATTTACACAGTTATATCCATATCTTGCTTACAAGTTATATCCATATACATTTCAGCTGTGGACAGCCATGTTGAAGACCAAAGATTAATGGTGTGAGGTGTTGCACAATGCATGCAAACTTTGACAGTGATACTTGGACGAAGTAATCTCATGCAGTCATTGTAAATCTCGCTTCATATGTTTGGGGATACATACAAAAATTAGTTGATTGTTCTTTTTAATGAATCCATAATTTTAGAACTTACGATATTCATACTTTTCAACATGGCTATACATGTGCTTATATAAGTGGGTGACAACTTTTGTGTAAGATGTTTCACATTTGTCATGAGCTTTGTGCCTTGTTTCAAATATTGGTCAACCAGACTTGCTATACTTTCAAACCAAAAACACTGACCCTCCAGTGCTTGTATAAACTCAAGGGTCAGCTTTATTTCTTTCAAGGCTCGGGTGTCAAGAAGGCACACAAAATGGCACGGCTGGACCCAGGCCTTTTCCAGACTGTCAGCCAGCTGCTACAGGCCAGTGAACCAAAAACTAAGAAGCAGCGGAAGGCCAGTGAGTGCATTGGTTTTGCAGAACTTGTCAGCAACTTTTGATCAATGCATGACATTTCTCTTTCAAAATGAACCATTGCATGTATATGTAGGTGGCACATATACAGGGTACAGTCGATAATTGGGCTGCGAGTACAGTCTCCTTCCTTGCATGCATCTAGAGATAGTGGTGAGCTATTCGCCTGTCACGTGCAAATCTCTTGCTGTAAAATCATCAAGACCAAAAAAGATTTTCAGCATTTCGAATGTGGCGGGTTGGTGATGTTTTTGTGCCACTATGTTTGAGGAGCATTCATGATAGCTAATAGCTGTGAATTCACATAACATTTATTCCTCTAGCTTTGCAACTTAAGTAACATGTGCTTAAGTAAGCTTTTTTTTTGTTTACAAACAGCATTGTTCAAGTGAGTTGGAGCAGTAATTAAAGGGGTCATGAAACGTTTTTCGAAAATTTTCAATTACGTGTGTATTCAGAAACCTGGCCATACATTCAGTACTCCACCTCGACTCGTTTCATTGTCCGGGTTCATTTCGTAGCTATAAAAGCACAGTTTCGATTCCCCCATTCATGTTCCCCTCATCTGTACGCCTCTTTAATTCAGCCAACGAAAAGTCTCTGTCACCAACAAAACATGGCGATGTAGCAATGTTTTCTGAGCCATAGTCAATTGATGTTCGTGGCATCATGCGATCTCGATTGCAGCACTGTAAAGCAGTCACAGATATTGTTGTGATAAGTTGTGCCGTATTGTCTGACGGTGCACACGGTGAGCATAGCGAGACTAAGCCATCGAGATCATGCCGTAAAACACAACCTAACGCAACCAGTAAGAAAAACACTGGCATGCTGCACCGAGCAAGCGAAGGCTACACGTGATGGAGCCTGGACGTATTTGAAAGTGCAATCAAGCTGACCACTTGGTGTACTTCCTCAGTTCATACACCTCAAAGCACCAAAGTTGCTGTTTTTTTTTCTTTCCTAGATTTCTATAAATCTATCATTGGGGGCAGAAGAAAGGGAACACTCTGTTTACAAGTTTTCTTACGATGATATTTTACTAACGTCGCATGTTAGTGCCTATGGCAGCCTATAGTGCGGCATGGTTGCTTAGGAGCCCAACAAAACTGTGATTTCAAAGCGGCTTCATTAAATATAGACTGGATATTGTGCCAAAACATTTCAGAATTGGCATGTCTAATGCTTATTGAAGCAGGGAAAATTATAATTGTGCAGCTTCATTTTTGTTTCACGACCCCTTTAACATGAATTACCACATCGTAACTGCAACATAGCAGTGGCAGCTATGAGTTTGTGCTTTTTCACACACAAGGGAAGACCTTCGTTCACAGGGAAGAATGGAAGTTGGCTGACTTTTTGTGTTTCAGGTTTGCTTGTAAATGCATACCGGATAACTTTTGCTTCATTTATGTTGTTCTTCGTGGTGCCATTCATTTGTGTCTGGATAGCACTTAGATAAGACGCATGGCTTGATCAAAGCGTGTACTTAACATTCTTCTGCAGAGGCAAGCCTGCACTCGGCCGCACTTGATCGTGCCAGTTCTTTGGATGAACTTCGACAGCGGCTCAGCCACAAGATCGAGGCTCTTCGAGGTGAGGACATTGCTCTTGTTGTCACCATTTTACATTTAGTACATTCTTTTGGAGGCCGTCAACCATCCCTTGGCAACAGCAGTAGGATCGGACATAGAGCCAGGAAGATGCAGTGGACGTGCTGTGCCAAGCCCTATAAGCATAGCTGGCAAACTTCAGCTCAAATGTGATAGGAAATTCATGTCTATTTGCAACTCTGCTACTTTGGTTAGGAAAAGCTGTGTGTGGAAATGTTCGAACGTGCTTGTGCTCACTTTCCTCCACAAATTAAGTGGATTAAGTTTCGCATAGAATATTTATCATATTGAAATGCAGCCAGCAGCAAACACTCAAAGTGATGGTGGAGATAGCAGAAAATGTCATGCTTTGGGATGTAAATAGTGAATAAAGTCATTATCATAGCAAAATCCACTCATGTATAATAATTTTGCAAATAAGTACCATATTTACAGCGGGTGTTTCAAAGACAAGTGCAAAGTATGCTGAAGGCTGCGCGCCATTGTGTATTATTCTGTTAAATTAAATTATTGAGGACTAATACCCTGTTTATACTAGAGAGAAAGGACGAAATGGGCTTTAGTGCATGTGATGTGCTGGTATGTAAGTGCCCCGATATGTTTATTTCCTTTCGAGTTGCAAGATAAGCACTGTGCTATGCAGAGTGCGCAGTCATTTGTGTTTCATGCGATGGGTCCTTTTTACACTTGAACAAGTTATTAAAACGTGGACGCTGTGGTCTCTGTCCCAGGCAAGAGGCCAGTTGGAGGTGAGCGCAAGGCCAATAAAAAAGACGCCAAGCCTGCTGCCAAGCGGACCCAGAACAAGCAACACAAGCCGAATCGGGACAGCTTGCCCGCTGCTAGCAACAAGAAAGCAGTAAAGGCAGGCCCGGCTGCACCCGTCTTCAACCGCGACAGCCACATCGTGTACAGCAAATTCGAGCTGGCCGACTCGTCAACTGGCATGGATGCTCATCCCAAAGTTGAAAAGAAGAAGCTTGTCCGCCAACTGGAGGTAAAGGCCGAGAAAATGAAAGACCTCGAGGAACGTGACCCAGAACGTGCTAAGCAGGCTCAGGAGAAGCAAAAGTGGCACCGAGCTCTGGACAGGGCAGAAGGAATCAAGGTGGGTGAATGAATTGGTGCTTCATTTTTCTTACCCATTATATCTCGTCATGGACAGTTTCTTGAATCAGTCACACCAAAACACTGCGTTTCACGTGATTCCATGTGATGTTCTAAATTTGTTGGCAGCTACGGCGTCTATGGTTAGGTATAGACACAAACCATGCTCGCAGGTGATGAATGCACTTCTTTTCACTTGTTGATTTCGTAACCCTTTTTCTAAGAAAAAGGCCATACATATTGCCACTAGTACAAGTTCTGAAAGTATTATTTCCACAGATGCTGGCAGGCTTGTATGTGCCGCTGTTCAGAAGAGTACGAAGATGTGCGTGCAGAGAAAAACAATAGTCATATTGCCGTTGTTCGAATCAGTTTGACGTCCTTGTGTGACATTGTCTACAGGTTGCAGTTACGGTGTAACGTGACATTGGTTGAGGTGCTGTGTAATAGTCTATGCACTGTTACCACGAGGAAGATCTCGGCCCCAACATCGATGCCTTCGTAGAAACAGCCAACCTTCGACGCAGTCGGTGGCAACTAAGCCTACCACCCCAATTCGGCCCTCTTCCGGAACGCTCCAGAATTATGGCGAGTGCGACAACTGCAAGCCAGACTGAACAGACCGCGACTCCGCAAGCTCCATGGCCACCAGCTCCTCGAACTCCAAAGCCCTTCCATGGGGAGCCCTACGAAGACGTTGAAGACTGGCTGGACCAATACGATCGAGTCGCTGTCGCCAACGAGTGGGACGAGCACCGGAAACTGCGGTATGTCTATTTCTACCTGGAGGATTCGGCGTGTATTTGGTTCGAGAACCACAAGGCCGCCCTGACAACCTGGCTGGTGTTTTGCACTCAGCTGCGGAACACATATGGTAGCGCCGACCGGAAAGAACACGCCGAACGTCTCCTCAGTTCTCGCAATCAAAGACCAAACGAAAGCGTGGCCATGTTCGTTGAGGAGATGTCTCGTCTGTTCCGTCGAGCGGATTCTGCAGTGTCGGAAGACAAAAATGTATGCATTCTTATGCAAGGTGTCAAGGAGCAGCTGTTTGCAGGACTTGTACGAAACCCACCAGCTACCGTAGCAGAATTCCTCCGTGAAGCGACGACAATGGAGCGAATGCTAAGACAGCGGTCTGACAACCTTGCATGTCTGTCAGCACCCTTGGTAACACCCGATGTCACGAGCGTGAGAGACCTTGCTGAGCTATTCCGTAGCATTGTACGCGACGAGCTCCAAAAGCTTCACGCAGTGCCTTCACAGCCTCAAGTGGCTGCTCTGACAGACGTCGTCCGTGAAGAGGTGCGGCAGCTGGTACGACCATTAGCGCCACCTCCAACCGAAGCTCCTCTGCTAACGTACGCGGAAGCTGTACGCACTCCTGCACCAGCAGCCAGCTATTTCCCCCGACCGACTATCCTGCAGATGCCACAGCACTTCTCGGGCCTGCCGCACTACGAAAACCAACAACCGACTTGCCTGCAGATGCCGCAGTACTTGTCGGGCCCGCCACACTATGAGAATCCGCGACCTAATTTCCGGAAATCTAGCATGTGGCGCGTTTCCGACAATCGGCCACTATGCTACCATTGTGGTGAGCCAGGTCACTTGTACCGGGAGTGCTCGTTGAGACAGATGGGCCTACCTGGATTTTGGCCAGGCGCTCGTCGGCCCAGGGACGGCGAACGACCCCGCGCCATCGCAGAATACTTGGCAAGTCTGCCGTCTCTGAATCTTCAGCGACGCCAATCACGCTCTCCGTCTCCTCGACGCTCTATGTCCGCGAATCAATACTCTACTTTCGCTGATGTTGATGCGGGATGATCCGCTAGGTCCCCAAGTCCACGCCGGGCAAACTAGAATCAGCGGCCTCCGGGGGTGGGACCGCTGTTAAGCTATCGTCAAAACAGCCTCCTCCGACCCATCCGCCGACCTTCGACGATTCCTTTCAGCCGACACCTCACATCGCTGACGAACCCGTTTCTGCTGACATTGCAGTTCTTGTCGGCAACCATCCACTGACTGCTCTGGTCGACACCGGCACCGACTACTCAGTTATCAGCGCTGAACTTGTGACTGAACTCAGGAAAGTCACGACTCCTTGGGGTCATGGACCAAACCTTCGGACAGCCGGTGGTCATCCCTTGACACCAATCGGGAGATGCACCACAAGGCTGCAAATCTGTGAGTTGACGTTCATTGCTTCTTTCGTTGTGCTTCCCGAATGCTCCCGGAAAGTTATCCTTGGCATGGATTTCCTTCGTGAGCACGGCGCTGTTATAAATCTTCGAGACTGCCTCGTAACGTTTGCTGACGAATATGGCCTGAAGCCTGATACCGATCCGCAGAAGACTGCGCTTCGCATTGTTGACGACACCGTCACATTTCCGCCACGCACCAGTATGTTCGTTACTGTACAGGGTGACATAGACCATGACAGTAGTATATCGCTGAAGCCAGCCTTTCGGTCTCAGCAAATCTGCCTTGCCCGCGGCGTAATTCAATATAAACGTGGGATGACTGAGTTGTTGGTCACCAATTTTAGTGGAGCATACCAACATTTGGCCAAGCGAACAACTGTCGCTCATTTCGAATCCATTGACGATGAAGCGTGTACGACGATAGCCCCAATTTCTGCAGCCGTTGAAAGTGACACCGCAGTAGCCGATGCAGTCGATGTCAATCCGAAGCTGTCATGTGCGCAGAAAGAGCAAATTCACTGTATCTTCCGCATGTTTAGCGACTGTTTCACGTCTACATCCACGATAAAACAAACGCCAACCGTAGAGCACCGCATCGTCCCTGACCATGCTGAGCGACCCATACGTCAGCACGCCTACCGAGTATCACAAGAGGAACAAGAGGCTATACGTTCTCAAGTGGAGCAGATGCTCGAAGATGGCGTAATCCAACCCTCGAACAGTCCATGGTCATCCCCCGTTCTACTAGGAAAAAGAAGGACGGCACCCTCCGATTTTGCGTCGATTACGCAAACTCAACAAAGTCACAAAGAAAGACGTTTATCCGCTTCCGCGCATCGATGACTCACTAGACCGCCTCCGACGCGCCCGATACTTCTCCTCTATGGATTTACACAGTGGCTACTGGCAGATCGAAGTTGATGAACGCGACTGAGAGAAAACAGCATTCATAACGCCTGATGGTCTGTACGAATTCAAGGTGCTGCCCTTTGGTCAAGTCCAAGTTACTCACCGACAACACGTGTGTTGGACTCATCTATGGCATTGACCAGGACCTGGATCCCGCTGACATTGCGGTCAACATCGATTCGACCGTTCCGGTTCTCTCGTGTACACGTCGAGGCGGGTGCGTCACCGTCACGTTTGAGGGGACCGCCATACCACCGGAGGTGTTCCTTTTCAAGCTCCGCCGGCCTGTCCGCCCTCGACTGCCGCGGCTCCTCCAGTGCGCCCACTGCGGCCGTTTCGGCCACGCCACCGCGACCTGTTCGAGGGACCAACGCTGCCTCCGCTGCGGGGGAAGCCACGCCAAAGCGCCCTGTCCTGCGGAGCGCCCTCACTGCATTAACTGCAGTGGCACGCATGCGGCTAACGAACCGCGCTGCCCTTCCTGGCAAATTCAGCGCAAGGCCGCCGTCATTATCGCCTCCTCGGATGGCCCCGTGACACGCCGCCAAGCGCTGGAAAAAGCCAGAACCGCTGTCAACACCATCGACAAGCGAGGCAGCGCGGAAGTCATCCATGGCCGCTCCTTTCGGGACGCTGTCGCCTCCGGTCGTTCATCGGTGTCAGTGCCTGCTCCTCGCCCTCCTACCAGTGCGCCTGCTGCAACCACAAGTGCCCCTTCGCCCCCTCCTCTGGATTGCCCCGACTCCGGGGCGGACCCGATGGACGCGGTGATCTCCGCACTTGTAGCAGCTATCCGCACAGTGTTGGTGTTCCTGCCCCCTGATTCTCCGGTTCGTGGCCTGTGTGTGGCGGCTATCGCTGCACACGAGGCAATCGTCCCGGCGAACTAGACCGACGGGATTCACACATCGAGTTCCTCAGAACTCTCACCTGTGTGTTCGGCTAAACATTATTCTTGTTTTTTTCTTTCCCTCCTTTCTTTTGGCTGAACTGAAACCCCCCCCCCTTTTTTTTCCTTCTCTTTCGTGTTCGGGCTATCTGCCCTCGTAGTGTTCTGTGCCCCACTGGATTATTTCAGCAATGTCAACAGGACACTAATCTGTAAGTTCAACAGTTTAATTTTTTTTTTCTCCTTTCCTTATCGTTGAACTGGAACAATGTTTCTTTTTTTTTGTTCCCCTCTTTCGTCACTGTGCTGTGTGCCCACGCGCGTTCTCCCAAGAGTGCGTTCAGCCTTTTTTTTTCCCTCTCTCGTGCTTCCACTTTGTAGTCATGCGAGTGTGTTCGATCATCATTTTATGCGCCTCTTAGGCTCATTCTCTTCTTCTTCGGTGAATTAACTCTCCGTCCTTCCCGGGGGCTTTTCCTGATGGTTGCGGATCATCGCAGCGGTTTCGGACGCACGCTATGTGATGCGGTGCGAATGCTTTTCACCTCTCTACTCTTACCTTTTCTCTTCTGTCTCTTTGATTCCCATTCCCCCTTCCCTGCGCTTAACTGTGGAGGTGCCCTCGTTTAAGAGAGGCAGTAACGGGACAGCGCTTTTTTTCTTCCTTTTCCTCTTTCAAAGTCACTTGGCCCTACGGTCTGTAATCTGCCCCTGCGACATTCCAGAGGATGATGGATACAGTGCTCTCCGGTCTCAAGTGGGAAGCATGCCTTGTTTACTTAGACGACGTCGTTGTCTTCTCCCAAACGTTTGAGCAGCACTTGCAGCGACTTAGATCTGTGTTTGCTGCAATTTGCACGGCAGGCCTATCACGGAAACCAGAAAATTGTCATTTTGGTTACAACGAATTGAAGTTCCTCGGCCACCTTGTTAGCCCTGATGGTGTTCGGCCGGACCCGGACAAAACATTGGCTGTCGCAGATTTTCCACCACCTGCCA